TTTTGGCCAGTTACCACAGAGAAGTTCCTAAAATTACCAACTTCAAAGTCCTTGCAACATAACGTAATCCTATAATCCCGACGCCCTCAGTTAGGACGGCTTTTGCTCGCCGTTTTAGCTCCTACATGAAACCTTACTTATATAACAAACTCAATAAAAAATACAAAATTCTTAACCTAAATTACGAAGAAGTTAAAAGAAAGTTAACAAAAGAACTGCTTAATTGGTGCTACTCTTTTTCGGAGGACTTTCTGAAATGCATTAAAAGTAACCCTAAACACGTACCTATGGTAAAAATCATTACACCTGTTCCTTTTCTTTTTATATATATGTATATGTGTGTGTATGTATACATATATATGTATATGTATAATATTCGCTTAACTATTTTGATTTACTCGTATATTCAGCACCGTTATTAGTAGTTTTAAGATACTCCTGTAAAAAACTCTCCACGAGACAGGCAGTGCCTAGTGTGGAGAGTTTTTAGCAAACTGTTATGTGTAAATATTTTCAAGGTTAATAAATAAATAATAATAATAATTATTATTATTATTATTATATTATATATTATTATAGGATTATTATTATAGTATATCCTTTGGATAGTCTTCAATGACATATATCTCCTTAAGATATTTTTTATTTTTCATTATCTCTATATGCTAACACTGACCCTAGCAAGAGCAGTGCTTCGCAAAATCTACCACCAGATCGGAAACGCGACCCACTGAGAAGATCCAGCGAGAAACTCAGTGGGCTGTGCCTATGGGTTAATTCGCTCATCGAGCCCTTCGTCACAAGCGACGGGTTCGACTGTAGATACTTACTGACTGAGTCAAGTCTAGGTCATCATGGAGATCCACGTTCCTGAGGAATCATGGTGCTCCGACAGCTATCCTGCAAAATCGGGATTGAATAACCTGAAGCGGGTTTCAAGTTAGTGCGGACCGCGTGAGCGAACACTACGCTTGCATACGTCATGAATTGTTTATTATATTTACTTCGATATCAATATTTATGTCGTTTTTGAAAGTTTCCTTTATCATATCCATTAATTCTAATGTTATTTTCTGTTTTTCATCCACGCCAAATATAATTACATTGTTATTCCTTTTTTCCCTTTTCAAGTATTCTGTCTTTTCTTGAGCTTCTATTGTTAACTTTAAGATTTCTTTCGATTCTAAGATTCTTTATTAATTCTAAGATTTCTTTAAGTTTTCTTTTACCTAGTCAGGTCGTAAATTCTGTCACATGTTTAATGTGAAATAATTGAAACAAGTTTATTCATTATGTAACCGTTCATATACCAAAATGAACTTAACAAAACATAGATTCTTATGACACTAAAGTTTATTCAAAATGACCTCCGTGATTTTGAATACAGGCCTTCAATCTGCGCGGCCAGTCGTTTATCGCAGCACGAACGAGGTCCATGTCAATATCGGCGGCTGCCTTAATCAAGGATGTCTTGAGTGACTCCAAATTGGGGATGAGGCTTTGAGCACGCCTTTTCCTCCAAGTGTTGCCATATCTTGTAATATAACGGATTCAAATCTGGAC